AATAATATTTCTTATGAATTGTTAGAAATTTACTAAAATACAAATAAATTTTAATTTTTATATATAGTATATTCATACAAATTTATTATAAACTTTTGTACTTTGCACCATCTAACGCCAAATTTCGGTTAAAACAGTTGATTTTATGTAAAATGCTTGTCGAAAAGGGCGAAAATAATTAAAAAGCGATATATAAAATTGTTGATAAGAAATTAAAAGTCAAAAGGTTATAAATTGGGCATAAATTAGGTATAAAATGGTTTTAATTAGGTATATATTAGGTATAAAATAGATATAACTTGGTTATAAATAGCTAACTCCAAACTTAAAGCATATTTTTATACCCTGAACAGGGTATATTAATTTTGTCACGAAGTTTGTCACACCCAGAAGAAAGCGTCGGAGACCCTATAAAGTATATATATAAATGATCAGTATGTTGAGCTGACTCGATTTAGCCATGTCTGTCTGTCTGTCTGTCTGTCCGTCTGTCCGTCTGTCTGTATATATACGAACTAGTTTTTAAGATATCGTTTTGAAATTTTGCAAACACCATTTTCTCTCCAAGAAGCTACCCATTTGTCAGAACTGCCGTTATCGTACCAATATAATATATAGCTGCCATACAAACTGAAGGATCGGAATCAAGTATTTGTATGGRAAACTTTCACATTTGACAATGTATCTTCACTAAAGTTGGCACAAGTTATTTTCTATGGCAACAATATAATCTCCGAAGAAATTGTTCAGACCGGTTAACTATAACATATAGCTGCCATAAAAACTGAACGATCGGAATCTAGTTCTGGTATGGAAAACTTTTGCATTTAATAAGATATATTCGCGAAATTTAGTATAGATTATTTTCTAAGACAATAATATAATCTCTGAAAAAATTGTTCAGATCGGTTAACTATAACATATAGCTGCCATACAAACTGAACGATCGGAATCAAATGCTTGCATGAGAAACTTCCTCATTTGACGATATATCTTCACGAAATTTGGTAAGAGTTATTTTTCATAAAAATAATGTAATAAACGGAAGAAATTATTCAGATCGGTTAACTATAACATATAGCTGCCATATAAACTGARCAATCGGAATCAAGTTCATGTATGGAAAACTTTCACATTTGACGTGGTATCTTCACGAAATTCGACTTGGATTACTGCTTAAGGTAATAATATAATCTCCGAAAAAAATTTTCAGATCGGATTACTATAGCATATAGCTTCCATACACACGTAACACATAATTACTAACAGAAATGCACCTGTGAAGGGTATTTAGCTTCGGTGCAACTGAAGTTAACGTTTTTTCTTGTTTTTTTTATCTTCTAAGTCTTCTTATATCTTAAAAAAAAAAGTCTTAATTATAAGTTTCTAAAATAATTATCACAAAATAAATATTTTCTACATTTAGACAAAGTTGTTACATATTTACATACCTCACTTTCTACATTCATATTTTTACAGCACATGTAACTAAATTTACATAAATACAAAGGCACTCGGTCAAAACACCTGATCGTTTGGAAGTCATTTGTGGTGCGCCCAGTTCACAGTGGAATTGTACCCGGCAGCAAACGAGCATTTCAATATAAACCGAAACAGTAAATATTTGTTCTGACACTGCACAAAATCATATCAATTGATTATAAATTTTACAAAAATATGTTTGTTTGTATATATGTACATTTGAGTGCAATGATGTCAAAAGAGCAGCTGAAAATGTATAACAATGCGACAACAAAAAAGCTGAAGCATGAAGCTAAACAAATATTTATTAAAGGCCATTCACACCAGACATTTTCACGCTTTGTGTGTACACACATACCTGAAAACAATTGTATGTTTGTTGCTTTGTGGTAATTTTTGTTTTTGGCAAATATTCGTGCAGTGGAAATTACCCATCTGCTGCAAGCCGAAAAATAAGTGATGCATCAATCTAGAAACAATAACAATTTTTAAGGAAAATTTACACATATGTATGTATGTGTTTATGTATATATTTTGTAACATTTTTGGCAAGCAAAAAGTACAAAAACGTCACAACGTCACAAACAATGGAAGTGGTGTCACCTCAGCCATCGATCGCGTGAACGCATGCAAAGAACTCGCGTTGCCAGCGTGTGTGGGTGTTGACACGCCAAAAATCTGTTTACGGATATTCTTTTTTACAGCACACAGACGCATTTGTACATACATATGTACATATGTGTGTTTGCGTCAGTCGAACTAAAAAGTTGCTGATCTAAAGAGGATCACGTTCTGGTTTACCTGCTAACTTGCTGACGAACAGAAAATACCCAAAAGGTGTTTTCGTAATTTTTGTGGATTTGCAAGCACGTGCTTTTATTGCATATATGTATGTGCATACATATGTAATGTATGTATATTAAGTAATGTAAATAAGTGTAAGTGCTATGAAAACGTGCTGAATCGAACATTAGAGTGTCTGCTGTAGACGCCAATACCGATATTGTTGTCGCGTGGAAAAATATAACAACTTGTTTTGAAATATTTTTGCATATTTTATGCTGATATTTTCAAAATTTTTTTATTTATTTTTTTTTTACAGAAATTTCTTCTTCTTTATTGACGCAGACACCACTTACGCGATTACAGCCGAGTGTAATAGCAAAGTGATCTAACATATGTACAGTAAAAAATTCACAAACAGGTGTGGCGATGCCAATTATCAGCCCTTGCATTGTTTTTGTTTGTATGTAGTTAAATGCAATGCATGATCAGTAAACAGCTATTCTGCGCTATCGTTTGTTTTTCAAATCTTATCAAATCAAAATAGCTCCCAAGCAGCGAAACCCGCAGTTTATTTGGTGGATTGCCAGGTGTCGAGCGACTAAGAGATATGAAGCGCACACACACATACATAATTAAATGTATAGATGCATAATAAGTGCTCCTGCGCTACATAGCCCTTGAAGCAAAGTGACTTTGAGCAATGATATACCGTTTGCGCGCCGAAACGTAATACCATTTATGCAAAATATTTAAAAAAGAACAGGAAAGAAGCTATATTTGTGTTCTATTTGTATGTTTCACACATTTTCTTATCTTTGTGATATAAAAAATCAATATTTCGCACCTGCACGATCATTATTATTGCCATTTTTTGGTGATCGCGATCGATCTTAATATCTTTTTATGCTAACTAAATTAAGAACTGCTGATAAATCGTTTGAAGTTGTCTGATCTTTTGAAGATCACTAATGATCATTATCTTGATCACTGGAATCACACTAGATATCATTTTAGGTTTAGATCTTTTATTCATAAGCACTGCAATTGTATGAAGATTTTGTTTCTACAAAAGATTGTTTGGAGAGATCATCGTTAGTGATCGTGCTACTAAATTTCAATTTCATTAAATAAAACTTAAAAAATCAGGCGCGACTATTACTATTGCAATTTTAGGTGATCTCGATGGATATTAATCTTTCTTTTCTATATTTTTTTCTAATTTTCTAACTAAATTAGGAACTGGAAATAAACGGGATGAAGTTCAGTGATCTTTTGAAGAGCACTAATGGTACAATTTTTTGATCGTAGATATCGAAAAAAGCCATTTCAGGGTATAATTAATCCACATTTTTAATTTATAAAAACAATTTACAATATTACAATTTACAATATCAACGTTTTTCTAAGTTTTTTTTTTAGGGATCATCGCTAGTGATGGTGCTATTAATTCTCTTTTTTGGTAGAGAAAACTTGAGCGAAAGTACATTCATTAAAAGTCAATAATTATATGGTCAATCAAATATTAATTAAAACAAATATATA